GAGAGAGAGAGAGAGAGAGAGAGAGAGAGAGAGAGAGAGAGAGAGAGAGAGAGAAACCAGGGCAGCTCTAAACCAGGGGATGAGCATTTATTTGGGAAGAGCATCCATGTTTGTATCCTGCTGTCCTGTTTTCTGACTCCCTGCAGTGGAGTATTTGTACCGCCCTTTAACTGCGATCACCAAATGTACTCTTCAGTCCTGGCCCTACAATAGCGTGGACGAGGGACTTCCGGGACACAGAGCAGTGCATGAGGTACCATGTGTCCCTTACCTTAGGAGGATGGCTTCTTTGCATCTCTTTTTCAGTCTTAAGGAAGCAGTGGCCTCTCAGGTCACTTACGAAGAGCAAGCTCTTGTGCTACGATGTTAAGAAGCACGAGTGGCCATCGGGAACCGAACAGCCCACACATGTTTCTAAGACATCCTAACCCTGGGGGCCTGTGGGGGGACCAGGAAGATCACCAATGCGGGAGGCGGAAGATAATAAATCTAGACAGCATTCTGGAGTTATCTTGCCATTGTTTACTGAGGAGGTTTTTCTGGCAAGGAAGCCTGGAATAAAAGGCAATAGCTATAGACGGTCTGTGATAAAATTAGTGACAAGAGAAGTGAAAATGCGGCTAGCTCCATTACAGAGGAACTTAATTTGCTTTTATAGTAAACTGGTTTTCCTCATCTGAAGTGCAAAAATAAATATTGCCACGCAATAGAAAGAAAACACCAACAACGGTAACAATGGCAACCCAAATGATGTCTCTATAGATGTAGAGCCACCAGGTTTTTTGTTCTGAAAGATGGGAGAGGAATGTGTATGCGTGTGAGTACAAAGAGAGAGACAGGCAGGCAGAGAGAACCAGAGATAGAGACAGAAAAGGGAAAAAAAATCTAAGTGAGAACGTAGAAAAAATTCTACCAGAAAACGCCTCAGGAACCTTAGTATCACAGAGGGCTGGGGCCTCACTCCATAGAGGATACAACTCTCCATCCCAGATTTTCTGAGTTTTGATTTAATGGAATTTCTTTGTTTTCAGTCAAGGTGATACATTCAATGGGTAACTTAATGCCATTTATTTTGTATGCTCTGTAAGACTTTTCATCTAAACAAAACTCGCAAATAAGAAAAAGTCCAATGTGAGGCTATCTGTCAGCATTTTCAGTTTCTCAAAGCACGGCAGCCACAGGGATGCCAGGGCACTAACTGAAATAGCCACTGGGTGCCATGGTTTTTGATATGACCAAATCCAGACCCATGGAGGTCCAGAGATGTTTCCACCAGAATGAGGATGCTGAACACAGGACAAAACAAACAAGCCTCTTTGGACAGAGACTTGCCTCCCTGGCTACGATCCTTACTGTCAGAACAGGTAGGTGCCTTTTCCACTAGTAACTTTCTACCTTCTCAAAGTCTCCACTCTTCCTGCCTAGATGATGCAGTTGACATTTCAGGGGTGAACCAAACCCTAGAGACTAAATCAATATTCAGAAACCTTATTCACGACCAGGGCTCAGTTCCTCCCCAAGGGACCAGTCACAGAGGAGGTAGCCATTCCTAGAGCTGACTCTAAATGATTCTGGGGCAATACAAATGCTCCTTTTTTACCTGCAGCCTCGGGGTGAGGGGGGGTGATGACTTCAAGTCGAGAGCTGGGCTGTTGCCAGGCAGTCATAATTCACCAAGTAGAGGCTGGACGGTCACAAGCCCCAAAGACTTTTTCTCAGTAAGGCCACACAAAGTCTTGCATTTGGAGTCAATATATAACTTCCCACCTTTTCCTCCTAAACCCCCAGGGGGCACCAGGACTGGGAAAAGACGTGCCAATCAGCGAGAAGGACAGCTAGGGGTTGAGGTAAAGTTGAAAGACTACAGTTTGGAATTCTCTTTGGCTCCCGAGTGCCCCACATCAGTCTAAGGGTTTGCTGTAGAAGTAAGGGATGTCATTTTGTTTCAGCACCAAATCAACATGGTTTGTGTGACTTTTTAGAAGACAACTGGTCAGAGAAATAACAGTAGATGGAAATGGACACCAGTGGTGTGGTTAGAAAGGTCAAGCAGAAAATTTCAAAAAGGGCGGCCTGGGCATTTATTCGTTACAAAACAAACGGATCTCTGGGCCTCTCTCATTAGGCGACTCGAGCGAAGTCTAGTTCTTTCAGGAGGTAATTAGGTTTTAACCTTTTTTTCTTTGTAAGGGTCAAAGAAATCTTGTGAGACTATTGGAGAAGGTCAAGACCTGCACTGTCCAATTGTTAGCTCATCCAAATTGAGATGTGCTGTGAGTGTAAATTACACAATGGCTTTAGACGACTAAGTGCAAAAAAGAATGTGAAGTATTTCACCAATACTTTTTACATGAACTATATGTTGAAACAATAATATTGGATTGAATAAATATATTATTAAATTATTTTTACCTGTTTCTTTTCGCTTTTTTTAATGTGGCCAGTAGAAAGCTTAAAATTATATGTGTGACTTGCATTATATTTCTATTGGACAGTGCTGGTCTAGACACTCATGATAGAAAAATGCACATCTGCAAATACACATCAACTTTGCATATACTTCTAGAGGGTTCCCAAATCCTCTGACACCCTCTGTGAACCACCAGGTCCCCAGGTCTTTGGTGGGAGGTGCTGAGGAACGCCATTGGAGAAGGGCTGTTTCCATGTCTTGTGAACCTTTTCATGCTGGTTAAACTTTCTTTTTAACTACCAAAGTCACAAAGTCCTCTAGGAACAAACCTTTGGTAAGTGGAGAAACTCCTAGGCTCAGGGGGTTTGCAGCAGAACCTCTGTGGGGTCGGTCCACAGGCTTCAGATGGGCCATCTGGACCCCTCATCATCTACGCAGCATCCTATAGGATGCTGCAGCCACGTGCAACCAATTCCTGATTTACCTGGTCACTGGCAGGAAGAGAGAACACTCACCAAACAGAGGACCATGCAATCTAAAGGGCATTTTCTCTCTGGGTATGGAACACAATTTGTATTTCTTTTGCTGTTGCATTATCCTCCTACTTTGGCTTGACTTCAGTTAATACCAGAGTTTGTTCTGGGCAAAGCTGACTGAAGGAGTATGTAGGTGATGCAGGCCTATGCTGACTAAGAAACAGAAGCATCTTGAGAGTCAGAATTCCACACTGAGAACCAGGATTTGAAGGTGTCCAGAGACTGCAAACTCTCTAACCAACAGCGGTTTTAAAACAAGGCAAAACCAAATGACTCCTTCTTGGACTTAAAACTTCACTCACTGAGATATTCATTCTCAGCAACATAGGCATGCCAAATCTCAAAAGCTGTTATTATATGTCACACGTCCAGCCAACTCTGCCGCCCCACGGTGGAAAGTTGGCTACGTGTCATCGCTCTCTGCAAACACTGGATCCCCCTGGCAAAATGCTCACTGGTGGCCTGCCGGCCAGAAGGGGCCTTGAGCATCATCTTGTTAAGCTCCTCCCCTTTACAGACGGAGACCTTGAGGCCCAGCTAACACGTGGCTCACCTAGGCCTCCTGACTCCTGGTTCAGCGCCGTCTTCATCCCTCCCGGGATTTCATTACAGGAAGCGCTAGACTCCTACAGAGATGTGACATTTGTGAAGGTGGCCCTCATTTTCCTTGCCTTGTTGCCTACTTAGAAAGTATCAAATAGGAAATGGTTAAAGGTGGTTTATAAACAGCAGCCAGGGGTCCCCCCTGCCACGCGCTCCACGCTTCAGCAGGCAGCATAGTTGTACGGCAGAACCAAACTCTGTTTTCGGATGAGTATTCATTTAAAGAGGTGGGAAAGCCTCATCAGATGTGTAGAGGACTCAGGGAGTAAAGCTTCCTTTTTAAGTCAGGCCACGTGGCATCACGGCCTTACAGAGGATGTGCTGATCTTTGACTGCCCAGAGAAACTTTGCTACCTCAGTCCTGTCTGCATCGGGAGGCTCAAAATGCATCACAAACTTGCCCACTGAAAAAAATAGCACATGTCTGTCATAGTTACAAAAAAATAATATAAACATAAACGGTCTCAAAACGCCGGCAGGTTGTAGTACTCACTTGCTACCTCTCTTCCTTTCCCTCTTTGTCTCTCTCAGTCAGGAGAAACTTCATTTAACCAACTCCCAGGCTGTGCTTTCTAGACCAAAGGGCTCATCAGATCACACCTCCCTCCTCACTTGGTATCTAGATGCACTCAAGGGGCAATTTGCCACGGTGTACTTGAGTCCTTCCTCGAAGTCTGGGAGGTGTAACAGGAGTGTGTTGGAATTAGGGTACCACCTAGGTGCTGCTGCAGCCTCCACTGTGATGGACACTGGACTCAAAGTTGATTGGACCTTTTACGAAGCCGCCATCTCTTGTAGAAGCCACTTGAGGTAACAGAGCCTGTTCTAGCCTGGGGAAAGCCAGTACAACAGACATTTTGCTTTCAGGAAGAATTTGGGATATCTGGTCTCAAACGAGGGAGGCTCACAGTCCCAGCTACAAGCCCTGCAGCCAACAAGAGTGGCCTTGATGCCCTGGAGGGGACTTCTCAGTTTGGAATTTCAGCCAAAGGCTGTAAGATCCAGACAAATTAAAGTGCCTCTCTAGAGCGTCCTTCTCCTGTCACGTGGGCCCTCACCAGAGCCTGGCAAGTGGAAGCCAGTGTGACGTAGCTGAAGCTAATAAGCCATGGCCTCGGCAGGTTCTGAGCTTAGAGTTAGGGTCTCTGGCAGCGGGGGTTTCCAAGATCCATTTAAAAGAATGTAGACTCTTAATGAAAACTGGCCTTCAACTGTTTCAGGGTGCTGAAGCACTTCCCAAAGCCATGCGCACTTCATGCTGAGAGGTCAAGGCCATTCATCTCAGAGATGGAATATAAACCGATCACATCAGGAACTGGGGCTTCTAAACAGAACTCTATGTAAAAACTGGAGCGAGCCAAAAGGAAAACAGAGGACTGGACCTAGAGGAGGCTACACACAGTCTTTAAAAAGAAATGGCCAAAGAAATCAAACAGCAATTCCAAAACAAGACAACAAGACCTGGAGAAAATTGAAATGAATCTTAGAAGTCCTAAAAGTCTCCTTCTAGTCTGTTTTAGGAGCTTCCGAAGTGTGTCTACAAGGATGTGGGAAGGAAAATCAGCTTTTGACTTCCAAGTCGCCAAGGCCATTGTAGAGATAGAGACACTGCATCTGATCGATGTGACTTTGGATATTGCTTTTCAGAACCATTCTTGAGCGGAGCACCCTGGAGATGCCAAGGTGTTTGGGAAGTGTGTGTGCCCAGTCCATGTCTCGGAGCACGCCTTCCTTCCTTCGCCTGGGGTCCTACCAGCCCTTTTTTTCTGGATTCGCCATTTCAAGATTTCACCTCTTCGCAGTCTTGGTCAGTGGAAAGTTCTACGTCAGACAGTCCAACCTCCATTGCCATAATCAGCGAGATGTCAGAGTCACTGCTGACAGCTGGCTCCTGCTCACCTGGAAGGAGAAAGCAAAGTTCATGGTGAACACTGAGCTCTACCTTTGGATGCTTGTTATTGCAGTACAATTGCTTTTCATTTCTTTGACGGCCAAGAGAAGGCATTAGAAAAACTGGCTGTTTTGTAAAACAAAGAAACAAAATATATAGTTAGGGCCTCACCTCACACAAGTGTCCAAACTAAATTCTAAATGGGTCAAAAAGTTAAAGGTAAAAACCAAGAAACTAATAAACCTAGATGATGTATCTTACACATTTATACTTTGCAGGAAAATACATATCTAATAATATAAGCATGGAAAGCAATTGAGCAATTTACAGAAGAAAAAATTGATAAAGGTCCATAAAATTAAAAAAATGTTTAACATATTAAAAATAAGATAAAAAAACCTGTATCTCACTGGGAATATTTGTAAAAATTTTCCAAAGGATTGCATTTTTGACATATTGAGAGCTTTTAAATCAATACAAAAAAACTAACAGTCCAGCAGAAAAATTGGCATAGGTTACAGTTATACAATTCACAGAGGAGTATGATATAAATGACTAAAATATAAGGTGAAAATGAGCTACCATTTTTTGTTTATGAAATCTTTAAAAAAGATAGCATTACAGTTAAGGGTACATGGAGGTAGGTACTTTGACAGAGTGCATGTAGGACTGTGAACTTTTCACCCAGTAATTTCATTTCCTAAATGTATAATAAAGAAATAGTCAGTAAAAATATTCATTTAAGCATTATGTATGGCAACAAAACATTGCAAGTAACAAAGTACAACAACAGACTATCTGAATAAGCTATTTTACTTATAAAGAACATCTTATCATTATAACCATTAAAGTTTCCAAAGAATTTGTAGTTACATAAGGAAATACTCATAGTATACTGTTAAGTGAAAACAGAAGTATTTAAAGCTTTTCATGCAGTGGGGTTTGAAAGAGAAAGTTAAGTAGAGGAAGGAAGCTAAAAATGCTAAGAGTTGTCTTGGGTTTTGGGATTTATAGCCATTTTCTTTTAAAATTGTTTTTCTGTTTTACTCCCAAACATTCTGCAATGCACAAATATCATCCATTCACTCAAGACATAAGGAGTCTCCACTATGTATTAAGGATTGTGCTAGATGCAAGGGATACAGGTGAGAGAGAGACAATTCTTTTCCTCAAGGAGCTTACTGTCCAGTAGGCAGGCTGACCATTAGCTAGTCAAGCACAGCACTATGGGACAAGCACTATGCTAGATGCATCTGGTGTTACAGGACCAAGTAAGGAGGCTGTGTAACTGTTTGCTGGGTCAAAGAAGGCTTCCCATAGGGTGTGATGTCTACTGTGAGTCCTACAGAGTAACTCGTATGTTATCCAGATGAATGAGAAGGAGGAACATTTTAAGTACAGCAATAGCACATACAGATGTCTGGAGGTGACAGGGAGCCCTTAGATGGACATCAGATCGTATTTAAACATGACTGGAATGCAGAGTCAAACTAGGGAGTATGAACAGGGGAGCCTGGGGAGCTCTGCTGCATAAAAGGCAGCATTAAAACCGAAAGATCTTGTATGTTCCATTATCCTGAAAGAGAAACATGCAATTAAAAGACCAAATGGAATGTCTAAGTACTGAAGAGCACTGATGGTTATAGTATTTTTGCTCTGATAATCACTGATATGTTTTATTTCATGTTGAGGTAGTTAAGATCTTGTCATAGAGTGATATTATGACTTCCATCTAGACTAAAAAAAGGCAGCACAGATCAAGGCTGACTTGGAGTGGTATAGAGACAGCCCACTGCACCTTCATCGGCAGTTTCTCACCTGCACTCCTGGCTTTCCAGCCACGAGCCTCAGCAGATTTCAGAGATTCATTCTCACCACGGTGTTCTCTAAATCGAAATGTGTGAAGTAAAAGACAAAAAGGGCCACAGGGACTGCCATCGCTATGGGCTGCTGAATTCATGATGCTATTTTGGAAATTGACTGTCCTGCTCAATTCAAGGCAAAGATGAATTCAGATCAATAAAAACAGGGATTTGCAAAAAAAATGGTTCCGTTTTTATGAGGCGACATTTTCATCAATCACATTATCTAATCATTTAACATCTCGAAACTTTAAAAATTGATCTGAAGACATTTGAAATTATTCTTTACTATGCCTTATGTTTTTCATTGAACTTGCTCTATTCCATAATTTTTAAAAGCAGTGTTTTATCCTTTATCCAAGGCAGATGTTTTACTTTGAGACCATGATAATACAAATGAAAACATCACTAAAACATTTAGTAGGTTCTCTGTAGGTGGTACTAATGGGGGAGTGTAAAGTAGCTATTAACAATGTAAATGTGCCCTGAATTTTACCTCTTTCCCTGCAAAGGCTAATATAACAGTAATGCAAAAATAACATTGGTCTTTATTGAATTCTTATAACAACCCTTTGATGTAGATACTATTATTACTGCTTTACAGATGGAAAAAAAATCCTCTTAGTCCATCTGACACAGTCGTAGAATACCTACTTGACACACTTTTTTCTCTTGGTTTTCATGCATTGTAAAGACGCTGAGAGAATTTCAACAGGGAGTGATACAATCCATTTAATATTTCAAAAGACCACTCTGGCTGTTATGTGAAGAATAGATCGGTAGGTCAAAGGGTGGAGGTAGCCCTGAGGAAGCTACTGCATGCACCAGAAGAGATGAAACATGACAGTGGTTTGTTGTGGCAATAGAAATGGAGATAAAGGAACAAACTGAAAAAAAAATATTTTAGAAGGATATGTAGAAAAGTGATGGACTGGACAAGAGCAAGAGAGGAGGCTCTGGCTGGTGAACATACAGTGCTGTATATAGGTGATGGATCATAGAAATGCACACTTGAAACCTGTGTAATTTTACTAACCAGTGTCACCCCAATAAATGTAATTTAAAAAAGGTATTTATCAGGAAAGGGTTTTCGAAGCACTGCCTAAAGCTGGAGAGAGAGAGAGAGAGAGAGAGAGAGAGGAAGAGGAAGAGAGAGGAACTCCTACATTTCTACAATGCAGGTAACTTTTACTGAGTTGGAGAAACTAGCTGCCAAATAGGTGGGGACAGATCAAGAGCTGAGTTTTGCACATACTGTGTTTGAGGGGCCTGTGAGAAGTCCAAGGTTGACGTGGAGTTGGCAGCTAGATCTAGGAGTCTGGAGTTTAGAGGGGAGGCCATGACTACGAATAAATTTGGGAGGCTTCAGCGTAGAGAAGGTATTTGAAACCATGGGAGCAGATGAGGTTTTCTAGGAAGAGTCAACAGAAAGAGAAGATAACTCAGGGGCAGAGCTCCTGGAACACTGAAACCGACAGCAAAAGGCCCAAACTGGTGTCCGTGACATAATTTGTTTGGCCTGTACATTTTTTTTTAAAGAAATGTGAATTAGTTACCATTATTTAAAAGTCTGGTTATTTCACGTATAAATTTATATTTGAAATTTATCTTGGGAAACGAAACACCTGGCAACACATGCCCACTTCCCAGGTGGGAAGTCTTTGGGGGGGGGGGGAACTGAGTAAAAGCTGCCCCACGTCACTCCAGGCAAAGAAGTCCCAGGACACACAGGTGGGGTGCAGCCTGCTGCACTGCTTCACGTTACTTGCTTGGCCTGTGCAGGGATTTGAGTTTAAAATCGCAAATTTAGGGGAAAGGCAGAAGAACAACAGAGGAGGGTAAGCCCCCAAAGAGCCTGAAACCGGCCAGAGAACACTGTCATTGTTTCATTTCCTTCTTTTCTTTTAAACCTGTTCTGCTTTTTTAGCTCGTTTATAGGAACTGACTCACAATGAACAGTCCCTGCCCAAGGAAACGAGTTACCATGGGTATTGCTGAATTGGTTGGGGTGGATTTAAAGACTGACCCCAGGTCATCTAATTCTCAACCTTGAACCTCTTCACCACAGCCTTAAACACCGTCTGATGAGACGGCGAGAAGAACATACTGTTTTACATAGAGCCTTGTGACCCATTTTCTTGACCCATAACTACTGCTTTCATATATTTCTACCCTTAATTCTAAGCAAATTCCATCCGTAGCCTAACTGTGGTTAACAGAAAAATTCTTAGTGGTGGGATTTGTTTTACTACTGCCATTTAATCCATAAATTATTAATATCTTTGGTTTATCTCTTTCCTAACACATCAAATGTTACCTAAGGAGTCACAGGTTTCTGTCTGTGAAAGGGGCATTGCTTCTGTAGTTCTGCTGTGGGACTGACGTAACTGTCTGTTTCAGTGGGCCTGGTCAAAGTTCCTTCCAACCTGGGAATGTAAGATTGCGAGGTCTGTCCTGGCCAGTCTTGGGCACACCTGGCTGCCTTTATCACTTCCCTGGCTTGGGCCCATGCCATTGTCAACATTCCCATTTCAGAACCCACCACTTGGTGAATGTCTGTCGCAGTGAAATTGAATGAAAGTTCCTCTCTGTCCATGAAGGGCTCAAGTTTTGTATTTTTAAGCTAATAACAATATTCGTGCTTACTGAGTACATACTACATACTGGGGACTGTGCAAAGTTCTTTTTTTTTTTTTAAGATTTTTAATTGGGGAATTGGGGGGATGGGAACAGCACTGGGGAATTGGGGGAAGGGGAACAGACAAGTTGTTGTCGTTTTGTTCTTCAGTCTAGTTGTGGAGGATGTTGCTTCACTGGCCCAATTTGGCACCATCATTGCGCTCTTCCC